GACTTACCAGTTTGGAGATAGCTCTCCATGTTGCTGGCTGTGCTCCTTGCTGCCCAAGTGCTGCGCTGTGGCTGCACACAGCACAGGCATTTATTGGCTAAATTAATCAGCCCCATCGGGCTGATATTCGATACAGCAATTTTTCTTTATATCGGTACCGATCCGATCTGATGTTGGACTGATGTATCGATGCACCTCTAGTAAAATTCAAGTGAGATGCCCTCATCCTGGGGACTGTCATAAGCCTGCATAAGCATACATATACTACTCCTTTTTGGAAGAGAGAAAATTGTATTATACAGTGTCTACAGACATTTATGTCAAAATTATTCAGGGCTAACTAGACAAACTCAATCCTATTACAAAACAGAGATAAGTGAAAGCTGGATTTTGCCTCAGATTTGTAGCCAGACTCACTTTTTTATTATTGCTAGGGGCTTTAAAAAAAAGGATTAACTTACTAATAATAATAAAAAAAACCCCAGTGACTTGCTTAAATATGCATGGAGTCCTGTGGTTCAGTGGCAGAATCCATCTGCTAGGGCTGCGCGAAATTTCACTGGCAGTTTTGTTTCAATGCTGGTTCGACTCATTTCAAGCTTGAAACAGCAAAATTGAAACGAAACACAGAGCTTCGAAACAGCCTTCAAACAAAAAAGCAAGGCAAGTCGAAACGTTTTGAGATTTTCAAAACATTTCGAGCTTCGAAGCTCAAGGTGGGCTTGGCCTGCGAGGAAACAGAAACTGAAGTAAGGAGAGGGAGGGGGGACTGCTCTCATTATTGACTGTGTAGCTGGCCAGTGACTGTCATCCTTCCCTGAGGTCCCTTCCAATCCCAGTGCTCTGGGGGAGGGATGATAAAACTGCATAAAAGGCAGCACTGTTCGAACTGCCCTGCTTTCTGCCTTGGTGTCAGTTGGATGAGGGCACACCTTACCCCCTCCCCCCCCACACACACTGTCACCCACATGTGTCATGTGTTTTTCCCCAGAACCCAGACTCCCCCTACACCTATCTCCTTGACAG